GAACCACGTCAGCAGCCTTACAGCAAAAATTTTTTCGTTTAAGTGGACTTATTCGAAAAATTACAATCGAAATATTCAACGATGTTCATTTCCAGATCGCAAAGGAATGAGTTTTTACTAGCCAAAAGTTAGAGAAATAAACCAATAAAAAATTTTTTTTAGCAGAAGCAAATTGACAAAAGTTAGAGAGGTAAACAAATTAAAATTAATTAAATTAGAGAGATAAAGCAAATTGGCCACAGAACCTGACTAAGGATATCTAACACTAAAAGAAATGAATGGACAATTGTTAAAATATTGATACATCATCTTACTCACAGCACAAGCAGTAAGCGGACAAAGCTGTTCCAGGGTGACCCACATATTGACAAAAAGTGCATAATTATTTAGACAATGTCTCACTCATTTCTTTGAGCTTAGTCCAGTGAGAACATTAATTTATAAATCTCAGTAATAAAGTCAAAGCTTTATGCTAAATTTATTTATAAATCTCAGCAAGTAAATTAAAGTTTTACGCTCAATTTATTAATGAATCTCAGGAAGAAAATAAAAGATTTACGCTCGCATTTTTCTAAATCTCAGTAAGAAAGTTAAAGCTTTACGCTCGCTTTATTTATAAATCTCAGTAAGTAAATTAAAGCTTTACGCTCGCTTTATTTATAAATCTCATTAAGTAAATAAAAGCTTTACCCTCGCTTTATTTAAAAATCTAAGTAAGAAAATTAAAGCTTTACGCTCGCTTTATCCATAAATCTCAGTAAGTAAATTAAAGCTTAACGCTCACTTTATTTATAAATCTCAGTAAGTAAATTAAAGCTTTACGCTCGCTTTATTTATAAATTTCATTAAGAAAATTAAAGCTTTACGCTCGCTTTATTTTTAAATCTCAGTAAAAAATTGAATCTTTACGCTCGCTTTATTTTTAAATTTCATTAAGTAAATTAAAGCTTTACGCTCGCTTTATTTATAAGTCTCAGTAAGTAAATTAAAGCTTTACGCTCGCTTTATTTATAAATCTCAGTAAGCAAATGAAAGCTTTACGCTCGCTTTATTTATAAATCTCAGTAAGCAAATGAAAGCTTTACGCTCGCTTTATTTATAAATCTCAGTAAGTAAATTAAAGCTTTACGCTCGCTTTATTTATAAATCTCAGTAAGTAAATTAAAGCTTTACGCTCGCTTTATTTATAAATCTCAGTAAGAAAATTAAAGCNTACCATTTATAGCCCCTACCATTTATAGCCCCTACCATTTATAGCCCCTACCATTTATAGCCCCTACCATTTATAGCCCCTACCATTTATAGCCCCTACCATTTATAGCCCCTACCATTTATAGCCCCTACCATTTATAGCCCCTACCATTTATAGCCCCTACCATTTATAGCCCCTACCATTTATAGCCCCTACCATTTATAGCCCCTACCATTTATAGCCCCTACCATTTATAGCCCCTACCATTTATAGCCCCTACCATTTATAGCCCCTACCATTTATAGCCCCTACCATTTATAGCCCCTACCATTTATAGCCCCTACCATTTATAGCCCCTACCATTTATAGCCCCTACCATTTATAGCCCCTACCATTTATAGCCCCTACCATTTATAGCCCCTACCATTTATAGCCCCTACCATTTATAGCCCCTAGCATTTATAGCCCCTACCATTTATAGCCCCTACCATTTATAGCCCCTACCATTTATAGCCCCTACCATTTATAGCCCCTACCATTTATAGCCCCTACCAAAAATATTACACGGGGATCACGCTTAATTTTAAATTATTAAGTCTGCTTTATGACTTCAGTAGCAGTGAATCTTTGAGACTGAACTACAATAATTTTCAATGTAAATTTACTGGAATTTCCTCACAATGGACATTTTCTTGAGTCTCAACGAACAGAAGAACGTTAAATATTTTAATGAAACCAGTATAAAAATTCTTTTGTATTTTCACATTCCGCTTTACTCATCACGATTGTCACGATCGTAGTACATTCACTGTAATTTAATATACTATGACCTAGTAATTTTTAGGTTTAGTACTTTTAGGTTTAGTACTTTTAGGTAGTACTTGACCTTGTATTTTTTAGGTTTAGTACTTTTAGGTAGTACTTGACTTAGTACTTTTTAGGTTTTTTCTAGTGACTTTGACTAAGGACTATGCCTAACTATTTTAACTGACCGGCAAATGATATAATTAAATTGCAATATGCTGCATAATCTTATTCAAATTAACCATTAATTATCATTAAAAGCACGCTTAGCTCTATCGGAATTATCTCTTGCCTTACCTGCATACACTCAGCGAAATGAGTGAATCTTTGTACAGGGTGAACCAGAATTAAATGACCCTTTTAATTTGTTAATAAATAAAAAACTAAGAACGTTATGAAGTTGAAACTTGTTTTACTCGAAAGAAGAACATTTTTATGGTAATATTGTATCCCAGTTAAAATATTGTATCCTATTACAATATTTTATTATTGTATTAGTTAAAATATTTATTATGTATTAATAATATGTATTAGTTAAAATATTGTATGTAATATTGTATCCTAGTTAGTTATTGTATCCTAAAAATTAGGATACAATATTACCATAAAAATGTTCTTCTTTTAAATAAAACAAGTTTCAACTTCATAACGTTCTTAGTTTTTTATTTATTAACAAATTAAAAGGGTCAGTTAATTCTGGTTCACCCTGTATAATGTATTATATTGTCATCAGGTTAACCACCATTGCTCAAGATTGATAATTCTTGAAATTTAAGAACTATCCATCCAAAACGGTCTCTCGGACCGTTTTCGCAAACCCAGTTATCCTGAGTCACGGTCAAAGTTTGTGGATGTGTCCATTTGCATTTGCAGCCTGGCGCCGCAAATATACCGAGCTGTTTGGGCGTGTATCCACGATACCGTACTTGTCTTGTCGGGACATTAACTGGACCTGAAAGTTTATTCCTGTGGGAGAATTGGAAGGCATCACGTAACTGGGAGGAAATGATGAGATAAAATTTTAAATTTTAATTGTGATATAAATGTATTTAATTTAAGGGATTTATTTATTTAATTTCCAATTAGCATGCCGTACATTAATTTTATTATTAATAGCGGGACTTTGAATTAAGGGATTATTGGATTATTTTGTCGGCCTTGGGTGACGCGTGGCTTGAGTACTTAATAATTCTGTTTAGTAATTCAAATTTTTAATTTAAGAGAGATTTATTGAAATGCACAAGTTCCATATACGTTTCGTTATGAAATAAGGAAAACATTAAATTCTCCTTTTTTTTCTTTCAGATAAAAATATAACTCAGTATTCACTGCAGTGAGTGACAGAGAGTGCACGAAAACGTGAAGTCACGGACGGATGGACAGACAGACAGACGGACGGACAGACGGACATGGCGAGCACAATAGTGCCTTTTTTCCATAAATGAGAAAATGCGCTAAAAACACTCGCATAATTTTAAATTAAATTTACTGGTGCCAATTTCAAATTTTAACTTTAATTTCATACCAAGTGTCATTTCACCATTTTTCTGAGCTTCACTATCCTCCCATTATGAATAAAATCTCAGATCAAGATAAAATCCCAACATGAAAGGTTTTGTGGAAACGCCCCCGAATGGACTCGGAATATACACGGAGCAGGCATCAAACTCGCAAACTTTCGCCAAAAATATAACTAATTGTGTAGCCATTATATGCGATTTTATAAAATTGGCATGCTGGGTTAGATTACACGCAACGGGTAGTTGACAAAGGTTGATAGGTCGGCCAGGGTCGCTAACCTGAAGAGACCTCCCAGCCTGGTCGCGAGTAAGGATGTGCCCGTGAAGAAAGTGCGGGTAAAACGAGATAATCAACGCCGTGTATTTTACCTCGATGTGTGGGAAGATGTTTATTGTGAGTGAGGCACGTGATGTTGTTGAAAGGTTATTCCTGTAGCATCGTGCGCATCGTTCCATGTGTTATTCGTTTGTAAAAATGAGCGAACCCACTTTTTAGCGCATTTTCTCATTTATGGAAAAAATTACCTATTGTGCTCGCCGTGTCCGTCCGTCCGTCCATCTGTCTGTCCGTCCGTGACTTCACGTTTTCGTCGACGATAAAATGCGCTCTCTGTCACTCACTGCAGTCAGTACTGAGTTATATTTTTTCTATCTGCAAGCAAATGCTTGAAAGTTTATGCGTGAAACTGAGTAAGTACGTGGATACTGTACGCACGAGCTGCGTGCGTTAATTTATACTGGTCATAAATAATATCGCTTCATAATTTATTTTAGTTCCATTTCAGTGAACAACTGAGATGCATGACTTTCTGGTTGTCATTGTTACGATAAATGATGCAGAACAAGCCTCGGTTATGCCAACGGGAAATATTACGATCAACAATCGTCAACTGCCGATTGAAAAACTGAAAGACAAACTGATTTCTGTTTTTAAAATTAACTGTGTTTTTGAGCTGATCTCAATGATAAATGAAAATATTGAGTGTGGCGAGTAATTTATTCGCAAAGATTCCCTCTGATTTTACTAAAAATTGTTTCCTGTAGTTTGGTGTCGTCCTGTCACGTTTAAGCATGACATCAAGAAATCTTCCTGGTGGTTCTTTCTTTCACGCGTCATTGCATCGTTGCATCGCAAGGCTTGAAATGTTCGAAAAAGTCCCGTGCCACAAATAGATAAAAAAATTTCGATGCAACCAAATCGTTTCCGTGGATTTTTCAATATTACGTCGAAAATGCTTGAAGAAATGCAAGTAAAATAACGAGTCAGTTGTTGTATTGCAAGTAGCAGTTTCTATTCACATTCGTATTATATATTAAGGTCGAATTCACATTAGTCTTATTGTTATTTTGGAGTGTATATATTGGAGTACAGATCCTTGCCTTTTATTGCCATGATTTTTGTTCTTACCCACAATGTTTCGTAAGGAATCTCCTGAATTAATGTTGATCAGAAGCGCTCTGAACCAGTCTCTTCTATGTCTTCCTCAGGTGACGCCATGACCAGCAAGATGGACCTTCTTGCTCAAATAAGTGAGGTAAGTCTTTTTAAAATCTGCTTTCGTGGTCTCTACTTGTCGTCAGTGTTACTGGATTTGAAAATTTCTAGTGTGAAATTTCTTGGCTCGCGAAGAGCAAGTAAATTACGAATGTTATTTTAGTATTGATGACGTTGCTGGTCTCTTTTTAACTTATTATTTAACGTTTTCCAACACGCAGTGCGATAAACATCTTTAGGGTTTTTATTGTATTAGAAAAATTGTATCAAGGCCCATCATATATAGTGCGATATGATTATATGATTTTTTTCGCATTTCAACAAAACTGTTGCAAAATATCCTTACTGGAACATTTGGTGGTGTTTATCAGCTCCAAGAAGCCGTGTCGAGCATGAAGAGTTCCCTGACCGAAGCCGTGACGCGGCTTGCAGCTGTCACCGAGGACGGTGGCAGCAGCTCTATGTTGCAGCAGAACCAGGACGCAGCTCGCTTGCAGCAGCAATTGCAAGACGACTTGCAGCAAATGCAGACAAAATGTGATGGTAACACAACTCAAGTTGTGAAGCTCGTCCTCGCTCTCAAAGGAGACGTCTCCGGTCTTAAGTGAGTCACTCACTGCTCGTAAATGTCTTGACCTTTAAATTTCATCTATTTGGTAAGATTTTTTGCGGTCTAATGATTTAGTGATGACAAATTCAATGATTGAGGTCGTAAAAAGTAAGATAAATTACGTAAAAACTTTGGGGACCTTTTCCAGTTTTTAATCTTTCTTTTCTGAACATAGTTTTGCTTTCAAGTGTTCAGTATATAAAGAGTGGATTCGTTGAAAATTTTATTTACATCTTGAGTAAACATGATTAAGACTACGGTTTTCTATAAATATATTAATTTTCTTGTTTATTTGGTGAATATTACGTTTTATTCGCGCATGAGTATCATTTACGAAACCCAAAATTTTACTCTGGCTAAATGATGATTCGATATTTTATCATTTTTGAGGCGCGAATACTCATTGTTCTTTGGTGGTCGTAAGAATAACATGCTTTGCAAAGTTCTGTTGACTGCTTCCATTTATTGGATGTTATTGTTCCAACCCTTTCATCTAATTCACTCAAATTTTCTAAGGACTTCTAACTTCTGTTATTGATGTTATTGTTCCAACCCTTTCATTTCATTCATTAAATTTTCTAAGGACTTCTAACTTCTGTTATTAATGTTATTGTTCCAACCCTTTCATTTCATTCACTAAATTTTCTAAGGACTTTATTAAACTTCTAAGGACTAAACTAATTTTTCTGGTTAGTTTATCATTTTTATTTTGAACAAAACATGTATATCGCTATGCGCAGGAAGGAGATGTCCGCCATCAGCGAGCGCCAGGATGCCCTCCAGAGGTCGCTCGATGCGCTGCTCGAGGAGCGTCAAAAGGAACCTCACTCAAAGTACGTCTTGTGATCATCAATGAAGCACATTTATTCCTTTATATTTTGATAGGGATCAACTAATACTTTTAAAATTTCCAAAGTAATTTGCTTGCATATTTCAGCCACATAATTCGCAATGTCAGGCAAAGATATTTGTTACGGTTTACTCTAAAATCTAAATTTTCCCAAATTCATATGATAAATTAACCCCCTTGAGAAGCAACGGTATCAAGTGTATCGTATCTGAATTTTTCGATATTCATATAGTACTCTCAGGTACGTTTATTCATTTTGATTTAATCAAATCATCAGTAATTTCGATCGAAATTAGTAGTGTTATGAATACAATTTTACAACTAGCAGATTTGGTGCAATGAATTTGTTTTTCAAAACTTGTTTCATTCTCTGCCCGACCGATGATGACGTAATCTTGGTATTTGTTTCGGACTTAACAGTCTCAGGCCACGATGGATTCGCCTGAACATCGCAGAGCTACTATTTTTGCGCGTAAATTTCCGAACAACGGCAATGCCATCCCGAACACAATAAGAATCTTAATAAACTCCTTCGCCTGCCGGCAGGAACAACCGCAGTAGAGGAACGCACGGCGACACTTGCGGTGGTGGTCGCAGCAGCGGCGGCCACAGCAACGACAGCGGCGTGGCGCTGCTGCTGGAGAAGGCTCACCAGGCCTTCATGTCGGACGCTCTCCCAGCCTCGCCTTCGGCCTCGCTAATGCATAGGACTTCCGATCAGGTCACAAATTTTCGTTCAAATTGATCAATATTACTTCTTGATGTAATGAAATTGTATGTAATCTCTTCGTTCATGGAGCATGCCGGTACGTCAATGCTACCATACAGTAGGCCATTTACTGATATATAGTTTATTTTAGTTGAAAAGTAATGAGGCGATTAATTTAGGTCTTGCATATAAAATTTATTCTTCAATTCTGCGCCTCCAAAATGTTTAAGTGTATAATAATTCTTGCCTCTACCTGATTGATATAATTTGATTAGATTCCTTTGTACAAAACATCTTTGATCTAGAATTTAACATTAAAAAATGCCAAGAATATTTACACAATTTTCTTTGAACACGTTTGTGAAACTAGCGCTATTATCAGTTCGAATTCATATATATATAATGCATCATTTTAATTTTGGACTGACGACGTATCTGGCTGGTATCCATAGTGTTTGGTAAAAATGGTACATTTCTTAGTAAATTTCTTTACTTTTAAATTTATGAGGAATTTACGATTAAAACAATCACATCACCTTAATGTTTGCTCTATCTCCACAGGACTCGCTACCCGAACAGCCTTCACTACTAGTGCCCCCGTTAGTGTACGATTATGTGGCTGGACTCTCGAACCATGCGGCACCCACACACAACATTTCTGGTGAGCCAATTTTTTGCATGATTGCTCATTCTCATCCTGAAGCCACTATCGTTAATTTTATTGTACGAAGCATCTTACAATTACTGGTTTAAATACTGAGCTCGTATTCCAGGAGGAGGTGAAACGGATGACCTCGCTTATGACTCAGACTCTTCACTGACGTTCGCCGCAAACAAATCCATCAGCCTGAGCGCCACCATAAGCAAGGAGATGAGGGCAGCAGGACTGGCTCCTTCCCCTCACGCCATCTCGCGATCTAGCGACCCAGCTCGAGCAAATTCTCCTCTCAGTGCCAACGAATCCCAAACTATCGTTGGATCTGCAATCAACAAGCCCAAAAGCCAAGCCAAAATTCATTCCCAATTCAACGCATCGACTACTTCGAGCTGTGACTCGAGTGGCTGTGTCGTCAACAGGACGGATTCTGATGGGTCGGATCAGTCGCGCGATGTAATACAGACTGGAAGACGGCGGAGATACGAAAAAGGTGATATTTTTTCTAATATATCAGAGCTCTTAGTTGTAATTAAAATAGTATATTTGATTATTGTTATGATGGTACAAAATTTAAGCTATTTCCATGCTTTTTTCGGGTTCAGTCTTTGGAAAAGCTTTTGGAATATTTGCCATTTAAAACTTTCCGTCAAAAGCAGCCGAATTGTTTGGATAAAATAAAAACAACAACTTAAAAAGTGAACTAGAGAATAGAAAGATATTAAAATTTTCCCGACAGGCCTGAGTATTAGCAGCACAGGAAAGCTGTACGGGCCTCTGCATCGCAGCCTCTCTCAGGACTCGGCCACTTACGCCGCCCTCAGTTGCTGTGGTCCTCTCACGTCAGCTGGCCTCTACAGCCTCAACAACCATGATATCTACAGCCATACCAGTCACCACCACCATCATCATCACCAGCAGCAGCAGATTCAACGCGACATTAAAGATTCTCATCGCTGTAGAGTCGCACGTGAACTACTCGAGACCGAGAAAAAATACTGTAGAACGTTATGGATTATACAGGACACGTTTGCCGAGCCCTTGAAGAAGCGTGGGATTCTTTCTCAGCCCGATATTGAGTAAGTTTTGAATGGAACTGTAAGATAATTTAGTTCTTGGAGACGTGTCAAAGCTGTACTTTCTTTAACTTATTCGGATTCAAAGCCATTTCAAGAATGAAGAATAATACATCAATAATGCGCCATATTATTTTCGTATAATCGATAAAATATTATGTCTAGTTTCCTATCTCTTCTCAAATTTTATCTTTTTCCAGTGCAATAAATATTTATTTAAAAAAAATTCCTGCCCATGTTTTGAATGTGCTGCATAAACGCTTTTATTTAAGCATAAATTTCTGACACAGTGATGCTTCATTGCAAAATGTAGTTTGATGTTGTTTCTTTCTCCAGCACATTATTCCCGAGTGAAGTATACCAGCTATACGACAAACACTGTCATCTTCAGCATCAGCTCAGAGAACGACTCGTGTCTTGGCAATGGCAGCCTCTTGTCGGCGACATTCTTGCCAAGTAAGCGTTACTGCAACGGTTAGACCCAAGCTTTTGAATGTTGCGTAGCATATAATGAACCTAATATTTCAATTACGCCTAATATGTACAATATATCGTTCCAACAGTATACAAGACACCAAACCGCACATCTAGATTCTTCTTTCCAAAATTGAGTATCATGTGTTCAGAGCGTGCCATTCCTTTCGTATCCTCATAGATTTACGGAGCCTCACCAATCGGATGTACTACGCTTGTACACTTCTTACGTCAACGACTTCCCCGAAGTTCTGAAGACTTTCAACAAACTCTGCCGCAATTCGCCTCCTTTCACCAAATTTATCAAGGTATAACTAATCTTATGATTGTTATTATATAAAAAATCAAGTTTGTGGCACGAATCTTTTCATTTTGAATCAAGTATTTTTACGGGTCCCTGCATTATATACAATAATATGTATACCCCTTGACAATTAATTAATCGCCTCAGAGCTGCTTGGAGCAACCGTCGTGCGGTGGTTTGGATCTTGGAGCGTTTCTACTAACTCCAGTTCAGAGAATACCTCGCTACATCCTGCTGTTGAAACAGCTTCTCAAGTACACCGATGAAACGCACCCTGACTTCCACCACATCAACGTTTGCCTGGATCGACTCAAAGACTTTTTGGAGCGTCTCAATGACTCCATTGAGCACTCGTTCCAGCTTGTGCACGCCACTTTCTCGGGGGCGATGGAGCCGACCATCGCCGTCACCAGGACTGGACGTAGTAGGTACGTGTATAAAAGTCAGAGATTTTGTTTTATTCACGCGTTTAGTCTATTGCTGAAGTAGTACAAATGGTGCAGATATTGTTTAGAGACAAGTTGGAATAGTGTTTGGTGCTGAGGGTGGAAACCATCAGCAGTATTGCGGACGTGAAATTTAGCGCATCTCTGTTTTTCTGTTTTGGACAATTTTTGTATAGTTGTTCTTACAGAGCGAGTCGGTCTCCCAGACGTTCAGAATCTACGGCTGAAAGTCCCACCTACAGGCCGGAGCGGCTCACTAGTCGTTCTGCGGACCGTGTGACTCATGAGAGTCCTGAATGCACCATCCCTAGCTCAAAACCAAGCCCCAAGCGCTCGAGCAGCATGGCTGGCGGTCCTGCCAAGCAGCTCGTGGTTAGCAAGCGAAGACCTCAATCTTCCGAGGCGGGGAGGTCACGATCACTTCCACGAGCGGCGCCCTTGAACCCAGATAACGAAGACCCGCCAACGAAACAGAAAAAAAGCAAGAGACCAGCACGACCGCTACCGACTGCACGGTCTGTGGCCGACATGACTAAGACTCCCGATGAGTCACAGGGAGTTTCATGGGACGAATTTGCAGCGAGCGAACCTTCTCTCCTCGACAAGTGCGGGAAAAATGAAATCTTCGACGTAAAGGAGGCACAATCCGTCGATGAATCGGAGCACGATTCACCCGGTGTTGAAACTGAGCGCTTGCCTAATAGGCAAGATGCATCACACGAAGATGGAGTCGTTAAGAAAAAGTCAATCAAAACTTCCCTAAAAAATATGTTCACCTTCAAAAAGAGGTGAGATCTGTATTCATTTATTAAAAATGAACCATTTCCTTCTCTGCGAGTCTTCACTCAGATTCCATTGGATTAACTGGACTCGTTGGTGTACTGGTATTTCATGAGCCTCTGTAATCTCACTACCAACAGGAGCGCTTTATACAATTTTATATTTTCGTTACTGAACACGGCATTGCAAGCTTTATTCTTTTCTTATACAAGCGCGCTGTAATGTATGATACGAATTAGTGTCTGGGTGTGGGTGGCTTGCTGTGTGGTTGAACTCTGATATACAAAATATGGAATCTGCATGGATGACTTGCGCAGAGGCTGAAGGAATTGCCTTATGACTTGCATGATGTAAATAGTGCATTTGAAGTTCACTAGTGTGCTTATTGATCATAATGCAAAAATTCATTCGAAAATGGAATTCGATATGAGAGTAAAATATTACGAAATAAATTACGTCTTGTGTTTGAAAGTAAACAAACACTGCACTATCGTGTAAAAATATGCACTGTGTGATGCAAAAAGTTTTTGATAGCTCCCACAACCCAACAATTTCAGGTCACTCAAAATTCGAAGCGGCGACTTTATCCTCATGCAATTACAAAATTTTCTAATTCGGTTTATTAGGAGTTTCAATATTCGAACGTTTTATTACGGTAAAACGAACGTCCAGTAAATTTAACTTATGAGTGGCTCGAAATTGGTGCTGTTTTGCTTTTCTAATCCCACGGCTTGGGTGGTTCTCGATTGCTAGGACTGGTGCTTCCCCAACTGGTACCCGTCCTTCGTCCATTCCCAACCACCACCACCACCACCATTTGTTCCCCATAAATGATCACCACCACCTACATCACCATCATCACAACCACGATTCGCACCACCATCCACCTAGGTGAGTTGCATTCATGGTTGTACAGTACGTTTATCAACAGTTAGAAAAAAACGTAATTTCTTCTACGTAGTCGGATAGCCAAGTCAAATCTCAACGTCAAAGAGTTTTTTTTGGAGGCTCAAATACTGTCAACAGCAATACCATATGCCCAAGTGCAAATTTTCAGATACCCGTACAAAAAATCTCCATTAATTTTCCCCGTGTTTTCATTCAATGTTCCCAACTGGCAACCTCCGGACTCCAACATTATTTACGACGTGAGGCAGACGTGTTGCCTTGTTGTTAAATTTATCATTCAGATGGTGAATTATAGCATTTTAATTATGTTAATGTACAAATGGCGCTTAGCTGTCCATGAGTTACATCGGAAGGGCTCCTTCAGAAACTTCGGCATGCTTTTCATTCAGGTTGAGTACAGAAAACGCGTGAACGTACCTCAGTATTGTAAATATTGTATATAAACGTGCATCAAAATTATAAATGTTGATTATCCGTTATAACACAAATAGGCCATCGACGGCTCGCGGGATGCGAGAAGAGGGCGACTACTGGGATCCTCAGACGCAGTCACTGCAGGACGGATCACTGCAGGCAGGCTGTGCACCTGCGTCATCTCAGTCCCAGGCGGCGCCCCAACAGCCACGAGAGACTTCGCAGGTGGTAGTAGTAGGACGGTGTGCTAGAGCTTCAGCTATAAAACTATCATACACTGAAGATTAAAAATAACGAGCGCCAGCAAAACGGAAGGTCTTAATTATTGAAAATATTTCGAACTTCGCAGGTCTCAGGAACCCCGTCGAGTTTCTCGCCATCCAACGGCCACTACCAAACGTTAGCGTCGCTCTTGCCGCCGCAGCAAACACACACGCCACTCCAGCCATCCACGCCGGTGCCGGGGCAACATTGTCTGTCTGTTGTAGGTGATTTTGTCGACGAGGATGGGAACCCTTGTTCTAATGTGTAATGTACATTCCAGGTCCCTTTACAGGTTTTAATTTTGTAGAAATATTTTATAATTTTTTAAATAGATATTAATCTTTAACAATCTCCCAGGAACTCTCCAGATCTTAAAGATGTTACGGACTTTGATTCAAATTGTTAAGCGATAATGAATTTTTGTACACTCAAAAATGGCATGATGAAATTTTTACTTCTGTGTAAGTACCCGCCATGCGTCAATATAAAATCTACATTGTTATTTATTTGTAATGTGTCGATGATTCTACATGTAGTGATTGCGATACCTGGCTAAATTTTAATTCGTCCCATTGAAAATTGTTGTAAAGTAATGTAAGATATCGTGCAATATTCCGTCCATTGAGCCATAAGTTTGCAACGTGCAAATTGACTTGCAACGGGCAAACCAACGTGCAAATTGATTTAATTCTAAGATACCCATGCAGATAATCGTTTTTTAACGAAATAAATAAGTACTTTGTTTACATTCTTTGGTTTGTCTAACATTTCTAAGTATCAACAATCGAGATGGTAATTTAGCCAGTCGGGTTGCGCTAAAAGATGTTCGCTAGTGGGACCCTTCAATTGTGTTGAACGTCTTGCCACAGGTTACAGAGCACATTGTTACATTCAGTATTCATTTATTAGACGGTATTCTGTAGGAGCGATAATCGTTCATATTAGACTAACATCATACGCTCCACGACATAACTTTATACATCGACACAATAACATGCATTCTAAACATCATATACATTATTAGACTTTCACGACAATCGATAACATTCTCAAAATACCATTTTACTTTTCATATGGTATACTAGTGATTGACTTTCTCGAAACAATGTAGTGTTGGGACCAAATCATTGCTATGTGTCACAGCTAACACTAAAAAGTTACACCTCCACCCTAACGCAGTTCTGACACTATTTTACAGCGATCCTCACGAATCGATTTCCTCCCGGAACGTGAGTGCAATGTGCACCCATCCACAAAAAGCACATACAAAGCTAGTAACTCTCACTATATTTCCGCTCGATGGCACCAGAAATGGCAGCAGTGCACTTAGGCAAGTCTAACTTTACCTATCCATCAGATAACTAAGACTCCTGGTATGCTACAAAATCAACACAAAAAATACATTATTCAAAGAAAGGAATAAACGGATCATTCACGTCATGTTCGTAGCGAAGTACATATTAAGTACATGATTTACTTGACTAATATTGCACAAAGTCGAATGACGAACAATAATTCTACAAATTAAAGTTAGGATGAGCTGACGAGTTGCGGCAGAGATAAGAAGTTGACACTACAGCACAGGGGTTTTGGACGTCTTTAGCTCAGGAATGTCGTGCACCATAGAGTGCATACAAAAAAACGTATTTGTTCCTTAAGGCTAAAATTCTACGAGAAATAAAGAGAACTCATATCTGACACTCGCATGACGAATAAATGAGTGAAATGACTAGGAAATTAGAATTTGAAACTTTTTCAACATAGTCGCGATTGTATGAAGCACTACTAGGTAAAGATGGTACCTCGCTAAACCAATACATTTAGAAAGTGCACTTCGTGGTTACTTCTGCTAACGTAGCTTATAAGACGGCAGAAAAAACTACGTAGCTACCGTGATTCATAAACAGACCACTGAAGCCTGTGATCCTGAGCACCAATACAATATGGCCATCATGGAAAGTACGACCCATGCAATACACCGCGAGATCTTCCGTTTATCTCCTTCGAATAAAACAATACTAAAGACCCTACAACCGCGTTATGCTTAAGCCTAGTTTCTACGCTACACACAGTAGCCATAAACAGAAACTGTAAAGGGGGTATCAAGTATCCAACATTGATGATATGAACATTCACAGAAATATCCAAGCATGGAACAGAGAGACAGCTCACAATTAACATACAGTGACATTGCCTTAGCTTAATAATGACCCGTGCTTTTTAGCAACATAAAAATTGCCTCAAACAGATTCGGTGGAACACTGGAATGACGCAATAGCGACATCGGTCTCGGGGCTGACACACTCATGCGAACAATCCCAAGATTTTAGGGCCGCGGAAATTTTTATACGAACATAAGGTGGATCATTTCCACCTTTATAACTAATATATGACAGACAAATCATCATTGATATGGTCAAACGATAGACAAATGATATATAATGACTTAACGAGATCATTCATATTAGCATTAGAGCAAAATTTAAAGAGATTAATATTATATTTTATTATAGTTTCCCATCAAAATAATTCTTTGCTGTAGTTATAGGGTAGACAACATACGGCAGTGTAAAGAATATAGAACTCATTTATATCTTTGTAAACGAACACCAAATAATCATAAATCAGTAAAAAGTAAGCAATAGCTACAAAATAATGATAAATCTTTAGGCCTTTGCAACTTATTCGCTAAGATACATGATAGAGTTTCCTGATCTTCTTTGCGCTACGAAATCATAGTTCGAAGGAAATTTAGCCTTCAAATGTGGTTAGATCTACACATGTCATACAAAATTTGGGATTCTAAAATATGTTTCAATCGTTTTATGTAGGTGGAGTAATGCTCAAGGATCATGTGAAAATTGCTCAACAAAATAAATCTAATGCTATTTTTATGACCAGCAAAGTCTACTGGCAAACAAATTATTTTTGACTTAGCCCAGTCGACTTTATAAAACAAATTGTAGACATCAAGGAAGCCCTAGAAAATGGCATTTCCACATGTAATTCCAAGTCTCTCACGTTCATAAAATAACACGGAATATTAGTATTATATCATAACTAAAAATACTAGTGAGCTATCATTGTACCAATGATACGCAAAATATGAGGATGCTAGATGTCTAGTAATTAATATAAGGCGAAATAATTCGCTTTTAGGGTCAATAATAAATAATAATTAGCACACCCAACACAATACATCATCCTAGTACCGTGCACTTGCATAAAATCGAAAAGAAGCACAATTAGAAATTTACTGAATACTTAAAATCGTGATTCAAAATATCATTAAGTACCATCAGGTTTTTATAGCTGAATTTCTTCCGACAACTAAGTCCAATAAATGACATTTCTGCAACTTTTTAAAGTATTTCGGCTAACCCCCCAAAAAACTGGCACGATTTAATTGAGCGGCTCACAACAGACCAAAACCAAACCAAACCAAAACCTAACCAAACCAAAACCTAAACAAACCAAAACCTAAACAAAACAAAACCAGAGCAAAAACCTAAACTAGTCTTTGGTAGAAGAGACAGCAACGACGGCAAACGCACGCCCCCCCCCCCCAGCAATTTAAAAATATTTTCGTTATTCAGTAAACGTGTTCACAAATATTAACTGATACCTCAGTAATATTTGGAAACCCACTGGTAAAACCCAACATCATGAATGTTGTTCTTCATCTCAATCTCGTCGGAATTTATTGAACACAAAGCTGGGTCTACCGAGTTAGTATATAAATGATTGTATAACTTACAAGTTTTCATTATGTTTAAATGAACCTGCAGCTAGGGAAAAGACAACTGAGAGATTTTTCGTAGCTTACCGTCTGTATAAAATTTATTCATTTTGGCCATTCTAAAATAGTAATGAATGTCAATATTATTCCACTTGTTCTTCTTTTAAATAAATAACAAATGTTTCCATATAGTTTACATAGACCAGTAATTCTAATTTTAAAACTAGTTGTTGAATAAAATGAATATCAACTTGGTGCAATGCACAAGATTTTCGAAGACTAAAAAGTAAATGTACGAAATCCTGCATCAGAATAAGTCAGGATTCAAAACCATAAATAAGTCTGTTCCAGAGATCCACACAAAATTATCCGCGAAAACTCAAACACAAGAGCATTTTTTTCGTCAAGGAAGATCAGTTGTACCCGGACATGGCAGCAGCAGAGAGCATCTGTAAGCGTCTTACATGCCCCCTGGCTTCGGCTGTGTGGTGTCGTATGCACGGATCACATCAGACTGCCTCATTACTCCGTGCTCCTCTTGAGAGAACGCGAAGCCATCTGCACACACACACAAATGTCATTATTCGAGGCCACCTCTATTATGATTAATTTTTTATTATGTAATTCATGATTAATGAAACGATCTACTGAGCTTTGTAGATAGCGTACACGAATTGATATGGACTACGGCGTACCGCTTGTGCAGAGTTGTGGTTTGAGGAATGTTCACTATTTTTCTGGTGGTGAGAGATCGGTCATGGAGGTGATGCGAGTGATGGTATCTCCAGCTTCCGTTTGAACGTTAATAAAAATTAATTTTGTAAGCCATTGTGAGTGTAATTTATGAAATATATTGTGATTTAAAATGCAGTGTTTTGTTGATAGAAAATAGTTTTGCAATGATGGAGGGCGAACGTTCATAAAATCATAAACGTTCTCAGGACAAGCTTTGTTAATCTCAAAGGTAATGTATTGTTTTAAGCCGATTTCAAATGTTCTTTGTTCCATCCGAATGTTTTCCCCGATACGGTATAGCTAAACACCGCATTTTATTTAAATATGGCGCATTTGCGATCCAAAAAATATTGATCGGTCAGCTTCTAAATGCTAAAATTTTTGGAACGTGTGTAAGTAACACAAAAATAATGTTTTGGGGGAGCCGAGACTTGATACTTCTGTGTGCAGCCTGTGAGCGATGTTACAGTATATCGTGACTTGGTTGGTCATCACACAGTGTGCGGGAGTGGAACACGGACTTTTGTTGCTGTCCATGGAATAAAATACGAGATATGCTTAGTGGACGTACAAGCATATAATATATAATTTATATATTTATATAAATTAAATAAATATATAAATTTAATATAATATAATTTATATAATTTTACAAGCATATCTGAACAAGTTTTGGCGAGCAAGCGGTTAATCCTAAAGGAATGTTTAGGAATGTAAAGGAAAGCGGTTAATCCTAAAGGAACTCCGTTGGAATGTTTAAAGCTTACAATGTCTTTCTGTCAAGAGGTATGTGAGGTGTTTTTTTATCGGAATTGGTCGCGGAATGGCACTAAAAGCTTTCCTGAAGTCAAGTGTAATCAGTGGTTTGGCACAGGAAGTGATGGTGGAGCGAATAATATTGAGTATTGATTCATCTAATACTGTTGTACCGCCATCGATACCGTGTAGCTAATGGTAAAGTCAATACTGCACGATGGTGCTATGTCAATATGTACGATAATGCTGCAGTCAATATAATATGTAATTATTTGCAATGTGAGAAATGATATTTAATTGCTGAAGCTTAAAATAAAATGTAAGTGACCATGTGAGTATTGGTGCGGTATATACTGAACAAGTATCGGTCGAGCGTATAGTGTGAATATAGTGCAGGCAATAGCGTGGATGTATTACAGCTATAAACACTGCATTTGTGCCGAGTGTTTACAGTGGACAAGTGGCATGTTCGCTGATGAATGTCTGACACCAGTGCACAGTGATGGTCCTTAACAGCAACAACGGTTGGACACTTCGGGTCAAATTTATAAACGGTAGACCAAGGCATGGCAGCGTCGGGTAAAAATGAAATAAAATGCATCAATTTACGCAATACATATATCGTATGCGTGTTTAGGATATGCTAGAGAAATAAAGCCACATAACGTGAACCACAGCAATAAACGTCCAATGCACATAACCACACAAAAGCACAACAAGCAATACAATTACAGTACATAAACCAGAGTACAAGATAACATATGAAGCAAAATCGAAGCAATAGACGGCGACTTCGGGTAGAAGAGGTCGCGAAATCAACAAAGATCAAAAGGGAGGAAGGCGGAAGAAAATTTCCAACTGAGCGACATGGCAGCCGACAAATATAACAAAAGCTAAAACAAAGACTAAGCTAAAAAAAATCTATTGCCCTCATTTCAATAAGCAAAATTTCGAAAATTATAACCAAAAAATACTTTAAAATATCTGTGACTTTTGATGCTCATGTACAAGAGAAAATAATACGGCACATTGATAAAAAACTAAAATCAAACTCAACGTTTATTTGATCATTAAGAGTATTTTAATGTTGAGATAATAAATTAAGAGGAGACATCACGCGATTTCTTTTTCCAAAATTTGCCAATGTATTTGAGACCCATTTCATTGCTTTGGCGTCTACTTCGTCCAAATTTTCTTCAGATTAAATGAAAATTCAAAAGCAATGTGCACGTGGAGTCGACGAATGGCGAGGGTAACGGGTGAGGGCAACGTCTTGCTAGTGCGTAAGCTGTCAGATAGCCACCGTCGATGTCACTTAAATCGCTGCGCTTTAATTGAAACGGTTGAATTTACACACCCAATTAAATCAATATAAACATTTATGTAGCTTTTAGTTTATTTTGAATTATTATATACATGAATTTTGACCTGCATTTTATCGCTTACTGCAAGAGGAGTGAAAGTAATGCAGTGACATTAATGGAGCGACTTATGCGCTAGTGACTTCAACAGTTTCTGTCCGGTACTTAGTTCCAGTTAGGCGTATGAGAAGACTCAATAAGTGGTATTAGGTATTCATAGGTAGGCCTCTCAACCGACGGCCAAGTAATAGGTTACTCAGATGCGTTATGTACAAAATGAACATATGTGATTAGCGTTTGTGACACCCAAGAGCGCCAGCGTTACCACCACGGCAGAGATGAACATCATCGAAGGTGTCGGGGTTTTGCCTCCCACGCTATGGAACGTTGACAGCCATCAGGCCGCATCCCATCATCGTTGCTAAATTTGTGTGGCGTCTCCTTTTTCTTCCCTACAGGGTTAACGACAAATATTTAGGGCCTCTAGTCTGGCCTTCATAGAACCGCCGGCCAGAAATCCAGAAATCATCGATAAAAATTAGATCAAGCCCAAGAAAACAAGAGCTACACTGCTAGACGATTTTCTTTAATCAATTGCGATTAATCAGCAAATCAGAAATAATAAAAGAAGATAATATTTTCAGAACATTTAATTTAAGCTTTGCGTGCTACCTTGCATACTTGAATTGCATGCCATACATAACGAATTTCAGAAAATGTGAAACCCGAGAAACTGAAACTGAAGAATAAGAAGATCAAGCACCCGGAGTTCGAGTCTTTCAAAATACAGCAATCGCAATGGACACGGTTCGTAAATTGTAAAACTATCGAAAAATTTATCAAAAAACTTACCACGAAAAAGTTTATTCTGTTCGTTTTTAACTGAAAGCTGGATGACAAGATGTGACTATGAACGATATTTAGCACATTCAATCACCAACAAAATGTCTCAAGCTTTGAAACATTTGTCGTCACTCAACAAGTTATAAGCGAAAATGGCGGTACTTGAAATCTGCGATTTTACGTTGTTCCAACCATATATCTGAACAAACTCGGTACACTTCCCTCGAAAAACGGTTTATAGATTCATACGGCATGTCAGAAGCTAGAGGTGAATTGTGTTAAGTACATAGATACAACATTCAAGAGATAAGACAGACATTCTCTTCCATGTAACGCACAAAACATTCAATCACAAAATAGTTCGCAACTTATATATTCTGACAATGCGATGTAATAAATAAATTATACGAAAAAAATAAGGACTAGTTCATTTAACATAGGACTAGAGTCAAATGTTAAGACAAGTTTTAATAAGGGAAAAAAGACCTGAAGGCACTTACCTGGCAACAGGAAATACAGCACGCAACATTTTTTAAGCAACTTTAGATTTAGCCTGGAAATATTACGACGATTTCTGAGCTAAGCTAGAAACTTTTAAAGCATTCCCAAGCATACCAACAAGCCGCAAAACAAAAAGAGATAAAAACGCGAAACTAGATAATTTTATCTCGATATTTGTTTAAATATTAAATTAGGCATAACATCATTACAATAAAACAACGAAGTATAATAAATACAATAAGTGGAGAAACTCGAAGACACAGCACATCTGGATTACATAAGCTTAAGATCAATGAAAGAACTCTACTCACGAGGCAATTCGATGTCGAGCGAAACTCTGGTGTTGGTTCTCCTGAAGACGTTCTTCAGCAGACGGGCGGTTTCAGTCAACCTGCGCACACGCAAACCGTTTCAGGGCCTATACTTTCAAAAAAAGTTAAGAGATCGTAAGTTCATCAGTCAATCATTGACGGCCTTTCAAGCAAAATCCACCAATCATAGACAAGAAAATAGAGCGTAAGTATACTTATATACGTTCACTTAGCGAGTTTTGAAAGTATGGCCCCAGGAGGCGATAACAAACGTGAAAATTGCTGCATAAATCAATTATAAGTTCAAGTTTAGATTTTACACTGCGATACTTTTCTTGATAAAAAAGTGGCCCAAGATAGTAATTTGATTGCATTTATTTCAAGCCAAAGTTTAAATAGGGTTAAATTTAATGGACGTGTGTATCTTCATTCAACAAGGAATGACTAGAAGCCAACAAAAATCGTCACAGACCCCACTAGAGAGCAATAAATGAAGTTATAAAAAAAACAATCAATTAGGTTATTTTTCGAAAATATGATGTTTGGAAGACTAACAACATGGACCTCACATAGTGAAAACATTGTAAAACAATCCGTATATCACATAATTTTGGAGGCATTAAAGCACTCAAAGTAAGACAAAATTATAGAAGATATAATAGGAAGTATATTCATGATGCATGCCAATATTATCACAATTTTATCTCGCTGAATCGCCATGTCTTGAGGAGACATCTTTAGAAGCGCGTGCTAGAAGGACTTCTAAATTATCCCTCGGCTTGAAGCTAAATCTAGAACACGCTATTTTTACAAAAATAAAGCCACGCGAAATAAATCTTATCTGTACACAAGAGAATAATTCTGTACACGCTTGTAGCCACTTAACCTGAGAAGTGTGTGCGAAAATTCGTGTCTCATTAGATATTTCAACGTTTAGAAATTTGCAACAAGCAGTTTAATTTTAATACCAGTTCTCAGTATACATGGTCAGCCGACATAAACGTATTGTATCACACTATAGATACAGTAAGAGACGTACAAGACAAGAGAAAAATTCCTATCATTTCAAACGCAGTGTATTAAGCATTGTAAAAAGATGAGTATTAAGAATGTGAGTGTAAAACCCAGTCACAATTATTAATCATATTTTGAATCATATATTTGTCCTGCAAATTTCAGGACAAATATATGATATAGGTCAAACTCTTTTATGACATAGAATGGATTTAATCTGATGATCATCATGCATGCATTTAATGCTAATGTGGAACGACTAGGCTGGATTATTCCATGATAATTGACATCGTCTGGGCGAAAGCCTTGATAAAAATGGAGACCTTGAAATTTGTCTGCAAATTGTGGAAAGATTGAGGCAGGCGGATGAGCTGCAAGTGTCGAGTAAATTTGAAGAGAAGAGAAGAAGTTAGGAAAAAGAAGGAGGCTGAGGAACCAAATTCGAAATCTGATCCATTCCTGAGCGAAGAATGAGAAAATAATCCGCGTTGGATTCAAATGGCTTGCATTAAAAAAAGAACATGTACTTATAGTGTCACACGAGTTCTGAAACGTCTCCATTAGGCACATTTTTCGTAGCATTGTGGTCAGGAACCGATGCAAATGCGTTCCTTGCATTGGTCGAATAAATTTGCTTCCTTATTTTGAACATTTTTCAATAGCCTGGGTACACAGTAGCATAAATTTTCTATATAATTTACCGGCATCTTATGGACTCTTACACGTACAGTGGAATAAACAAAGACAACAAACTGGAACGAAAAGCTTCAACGTTTTAACTGATGTATCGCAGGTCACACGACGATACAAACTATCACAAACATTGTACACGTGGTGCTACACACATGGTGTTCATGGTCAACTTGTCGTAGAGATCTTGACTGCATAAATTGTTTACGATTTTCACCAAAAACAAACATCAGAGAAAAATGTATAAAAGGAATACATTTTGAAAATATTTTTACAAACACACGGTGGCAATGAACAAGAAAAGTGCCTAGAAACAAACATGAAGCCTAACTAGGTATGTGCAAGCGCAAAGCAACGAACTAATATAACTTACAGCAATACGCTTCATTTTAATTTCGATCACTAGGGTGCATCACATCCCAAACTAAAGCATTCAAATATTATATACATCCCAAAGCTTTCAAATATAATATATAATAAGTTTCCCAACATCACGAGTTGGTTTAAGCGACATGTTTTTTCGACACCATAACACAACTGCCAGGAAGGATATACCAACAAAGGTTCAAGAGTCATTGTGGTGCATTCATTTCATGATGATAAAGCCGCCTATATACCAAGCAGGCAATCCGATAAGAAAAATGAGATAATACCGATATATGAGAATGTAGGTATACTCAGTGGAATATACAATCAATTAATGAGAGACAATAGGCAGCTTATGTTTCTTTGGGTTTCTCACCCCCAGTCATTTGATCACAATAATTACATTGACAAAGCCAAATTCAAGGCCAACATTGATTTTACAATGAAAGAGCATAGAACATGCATGCAAACAAATATCACCCAAAGTTACATGCACGACATGCGTACGTTTGCACCATGCACTATCAGAAATCATTCCTTCTAGAATATTATAACTTTCATGCATTTCATAGTTACTGGATTTATAGGAGAAATCAAAATATTATTTAAATATTAAGATGGATTTTAACTAAAAAAACTAACTTGAATTCTGTCATGTTTTCAAGTATAAAACAAGACTGGGTTTTATTATTCTAAATCATTAAAAGTGAAAAAAGTTCCGGAATCATGAAACTAACAGCTAATTTAAATAGACTTAAACCTTTACAGCACAAATTTCGAATGAATAAAAGCTAGAACTTATTACGGGAGAATGGATCGCAACATTTCATTTTCAAAAGATTATTGAAAAAATAGATGGAATGATGATACGGCTGAACCAAAATGGGCAGTTGAGAATAGGCGGAACGATGTTAAAAAATCATGAGTTAATGAGCGGCGGCATAATTTGCCGATATTTCTTAAGAATTAAGCGAGCAGGTTAGACACTAGCACAAGCGTAAGCTAGGCTGCGTACAGTAGATTGTCAATGATTAGTGGCATAATTTACCGATATTTCTTAAGAATTAAGCGAGCAGGTTAGACACAAGCACAAGCGTAAGCTAGGCTGCGTACAGTGGATAAGGAAGGAACTCACCTCAGCACACGCAGGAGAAGGAAGGACGGGGGTAACGGGCACTGGGCACAGAACACACGAGTTCTTCCATAACCGAGCATAATTCAATAGCCAGGGGCCAAAGAAGCCGCATCTCTTCAAGCATCAAATGTAAATTAGCTACAGCAACAGGATTACTAATAACGTAAGGAAGATTCTGAGCTACAGTTCCAAGTACAAAGTAAAAAGTCATTCGAATGAATAAACAGACAACGATATTGACGCTTGAATCTTGATTCAATCAAAAGTGGAATTAGAATGATACAGACCCAGGAGGATAATGAGGCTACTCATGCACTATATACTGGGATACCAACACAACACACTTGCAGTTGATAACAATGACGTTATTTGCTTAAAATCATTCATACTCTTAGGTTGGCGCCAGACACAGCAGTGCAGTGCAAGACTCATGGACATTCAGTGAGGCTTAGCGTTAAAACAACAATCGCTTCAATTACATCGAGCTGATAACTTTGAATACCAGGGATCAAGTTTCGATAGTCATCAGAAACTGGAAAGCAAGCAAGGAATTCAAAATACTTGAGTAGGATCAACCTGGGTTATTCAACAAGCTTCTCAGTACTCCTACCAAAAAACGTTTTTATTAAAGCATTAAAATATCAAGTGAACACGTGGTGTTACTCAGGAGGGTTTCCAAAAGAATGGTTGGTAAAACATCAAACTTTATTAATATTTTTAGCACGCAGTGTTATTTAAATACAAGCATCAATATACTTGTCAGTCATCAAACATACTCCGAAGCTTAATACTTTCGACATAATCATGCTAACACAAAACTTATGTGGTACGACCAGAACCTGATACTGGGAAGGTCGATGAAAATAACGCAAGCATGGAATTAGTCAATAAATGAAAGCTACACTAATTGCATTTGAACATTCGTAAAACATCGAGTGCAAGTCTTATGAAAATATTATTGAATCGAATTTTGTCCGGGATGCGAGTAGTAGAACGCAAAAATGTACCGACAGATTAAACTAAAAATTCGCATTTTGTACTCTAAACAATAACATAACGAAATAAATTTCAGTCATTATGAAAGAAAACCTCTATAATAACGCTACATTAACTGAAATTTGTGAATGATATAGATTTATAGATTTACGATTGATCCTTAAGTGAAAAAAAAAACAATAAAATAAGAATGCAACGGGAGACACAGCCAGCAAAATACTCCAAGACATATGCTCTACAACGTATATTCCGTTAAAATGAACACTAATATTTCCAGTACCAGGATACAAACTTCATGCCATAACAAAAGAAGAGCTCCGGTTCATAATAATATCTTCTTTCTTGAAGTGATACATTCCCATTGAATCTTATACATATAAAAAATAAATCTCATACACATAAATGTCCGTTTTTTCTTCTTTGGCATTAAAAGAAATTAATAACGCTATAACAGCGAGGCCATAGGCGTGAATAAGGGCAAACAGTAAAACAGAACAAAAAAGAAATTTTTTGAATTTTCGAAGCTAGAAGCAAGGAGATTTAGAAAATGTTCTAAATATTTTTCCAGTTAACATTCTTTCCTTAACCTCGATATCGGCCGGCATGTGATGAAAATTTAATCTACAAAAACCTTAAACATGGAATGGTTAAGCCTGTTAGCATTTCAACGGTCATCTACACCGAGCTTGCACGCTGTATAATACATATGAAATATTTGATATGGTCAGAACACCGGTTTTCTATAAGATTTACTTTAAACTCTACCCTAAGACAATCTAGGCACTTGCTTCGAAGGCTACAAGTCTCTAAGAATTACTAAGGCCAGTCTGCATTCGTTAATGATAACCTACAGCTAGCTTTGGCTTTTCAATGGATGGTGATCCACGATGGTCTTAACTAAAATTTAAACAACCAAAAAAGTGATGAATAATTATCGTATTTCTTACGGTCTGTACAGGTAATTACACCAACTCCTAACACGCTTATCATAAGAAGATTTTAGAGATGCATAGAACGAACCCATATAAACATTCAGGATATAACTTTCCAAGATACTTGAACAAGTCTGACAGCGCGATGAAGAAATAAACATGTTGAATGTACATGTCATGGCAATAGAGTCGAGTATACTTTCGCATTAGACAATTAATGGCAGAAAAAAAATCAAGGGATATGTTGAATGATGATGAAACAGAAACGCGTGTCTCGACGCTTCCAAGTCCGAATTTAATAGACTTGTGCATAAAACTGAAGTACCGTTTGCTCGGCAAGTTCTTGACACTTTTATAACGAAATAAACCAATAGCAGGGAGAGTACAAAGTTTCATCAGCGCTTTCTACAACTTGGTAACGAAGATAAGTGTGAATCAAAAACAAAATAAACGCATATGCTCATAATGTAAACAACTCGGCACTTAAATTCCTAGTTACTACCTTAAAAATCAGTAACCAACTCTTGCACAAACGCTAATAATGCCTCAAGAAGCAATAGCTTATCTAATAATTTTAGTAAACAATTTAAACAAAATTACATCAAGACACACTGTTGGAAGTGAGTCAAAAGGCAGTGAGTCTCCAACACTTGAGGCACGAACTGCGCAATGCAGTGCGATCATGTAGTAAAAGTCTGCCATCTACACGTCATATGCGTCATTTAACATAAATGATATCATTATTGGTAACTGCGTGGAGCTAAAAAAACATCAATTCCACACCGAACACTGGCATAAGATGAAGGGAAATGACCGAAGACTCTAGTAGATGCACTGCAATGCGAGTACACTTCGTCTATACATCAAGAGATCAGTGTGCCATGTACAGCGCTGTTATTCACAGATCATTTCGTCTATACGTTAATACAGAACTTATCCGTAAATATTATCTAATAGAACTAGCAGCCGCTTAGTAGAAATAGCGTTTTATACGTAAACAGTGCACATAACATGACATATTTACTAGCCAATTAGCAGGAGTGTGTTTTCGAACGGCGAGAAATAGAGTAGATATGAAATTAATGAACAAACTGAAGCTTATGAACTGATACCGACAATATCTTACAAGATAGTAGTGTTTTCTCGAATATTCTTTCTCGGAGAGATTCACACAGACAATACGTAGGTGAATACAGAAAAAATAAAGCAATCTCTAATATTATACAGGGCTACAAGGTAAATTAGTATGAGGATAACTTTGGGTAGTTTTCAATGAGAAGTTTCTTTGTGCTCATAATAGAACAATAAGAAGACTAATATCGGAGAGTTAATTCGGAGAAAGTATTTGAGATAGTAATTTTTTAAGCTTTTATAATTGAAATAATCTGAAAAAATTAATTGATAAGGGGGCATCATATCAGCCTCTTTCATTTGTACGGCGCGAGGCAAGGTTTGTAACCGGCACATTAATAAGCCTTTGCCTTTTCCACCGCATCACAAGTACATAACAACTTTAAGAAACTATAACAATAGCGAAAAATAGAGTAAATTATACCTGAAAGTGCGTTCGCATCACACTAAATAATACTAAACAGCGTAACTTGTTTTGATCAACGAGGTTCGAACTGATATAAAGTATATTGCACAGTACTGATAAGAGTGAATGTACAGTACCTATAGTTAAAGTACATATAGTACAGTTTTAATGGAGATTAGAAACAATATACGTTACCATTGAGCTCACAGAACGCTAACAAGAAAGCGATATATTCAATGGAGCTCAGCTACAGTAGACGAATACATGGAGAGAACCTAAGGACCATAAGAATACTCAAGCTATGAAGAAACAATCCTAGGAGATTAAATACGGAAAGAAATGATCAGATTTAACGTGGAACTCTTAAGGTCGGGTTTATACCATAAATAGGGAATTCTTATTGTTGTTGGGACCTAACCTAAGAACCTAAGGACCATAAGAATACTAAAGCTATGAAGAAACAATCCTAGGAGATTAAATACGGAAAGAAATGATCAGATTTAACGTGGAACTCTTACGGTCGGGTTTACACCATATACAGTATACACTGTAGGACACGTGCCAGGCATATGCAAGTCACGGTCCAGTACAACATTCTTCATTGCACTCACATATTCATATCATGGGCACAACACGTGTTTTACACGGCTGGTGTGAATACTTCTATGGAAATGCAGTTAATAATACTGGACTGGACCGTGACTGGCATAGGCCTGGTTAGTGCCAGGCAGTATGGTGTGAACCCGGACTAAAACAGTTATAAAAAGTGTACTTTTTGTGATGCGTTATAGGAATGTTCAGTGGTCAGTGAGGGAAATTAAATGATACTTGATGTCCAGCATATGATCACATCGAAGTGCTTCATTCATTTATATTAATATCCTTGGCATTTGAATGCATTATTTTCGTACATAAGATATGAACAACGTTTCAAAATTTGTCGTTTCATGATCCTTTCAGTTTCTCCGTAACTTAACCTAAAAACGAAACTGTTGTCAATAACACGAAATCGTACTAATATCAAAGATAATTTTGTATCTGCAAATCTACGCTTTGACATCCGAAGGTAAAAACGCAAATAACAGGTAATCGACATAAGCTATTGTAAAAACGATCAATAAAAATAAATGAGGAACATGGAATCAAGCTCCAACGTCGTCTCTAGCAAATGAAGTAAATATTCAGTCTAAATGCTGCAAGAAATATTACTAAAACTAAAATTTTAGTGTGGATCTGGAATATTTTTTGTGGACCTAACCACAATTCTTGGCATCAAGTGCTTGCTCTCGAAAGTTCTTCTTATTAGAATGTATAGATTTTCTCGGCTTATACCCACCCTAACATAGGAATAAAAGTCTTCAAGTCTTTTATGAACACTACGATATTAACGTAGAAATTTTCTAAAATTTAGCCCATCACTCTTACAAATTAAACGATTCCTAAGCTTTCCACTGATTAAACCAAGTAAAATGCACGTTAACGAACACGAATGGCTCTCGATCATACAACGATAAATCTAATGACTGCGTCCAAGTTCGCGTTTTTTCGGCAATGATCGTTGAAATAAAATAAAATTAACTGCCGGAATAAAGAAATCAAAGCGGCAGTAACCGATGGCGGTGAAGGAGCAAAACAACGAAGAAATATGAGGCAGTTTCTTCATAGCGGATGTGGGAAAGGAGCAGCCGGAGTCTACAGAATCGAAGATTCTGAGAAGAAGAGTGCCAATGTAATCTGCCAGAGAGCCATTGGATTCTGCCAGAGAGCCAATGTAATCTGCCAGAGAGCCAATGGAATCTGCCAGAGAGCCATTGGATTCTGCCAGAGAGCCAATAAACTCCGCCAGAGAGCCAGAGATTCTGCCGAGCGCTTACCTGTTTCGAGTGTCAAGCATCCTGCCCAGATCCTTGTTGGAGATCTCGCTCTCGCGCACTTCTTCGGTCAGACTCTTGCGCACACTGTTGATGAAACTGCAACAACAACAGCGTTGTCAAGGAATTATCACAACCTTGGCGCCCTCCCCATTGCTACTTTATACTAGGCAGGGTGAGAACACCGAAAAAAACAAGCGACAACGATGAATAACTATGGATTCACGATGGACAATTATGACGCATTTTCGTAGGTTTGAAGCGCTTAATTGAATTTAACTGGCCTTGACATGACTACGACCATTTCACTAGCACCTTCTTAGTGGATATTTCCGAGCGAATCCTTACAAGACAACTAACATTGCAACTATAATAGCATACTGCTAAATTGATAGTCAGCTCATTGAGGAGATAGTCAGCTGATAGGAGGTAATTTAAATTGAATTGATATCGATTAGGTAACTAGGTTCAAAAATAAATGCGAAAAATGAATTACCTTTACAAAGCATGAAATAATCAGGTAACATAAGAATAATCTCCTTCCACAAGGGTAAAGCAAGCATGGAGGGGAATATACCAGGGCTCACACTATCAATAATAGTTACGAGTTAATAACTCCATCGGTCAATCACTGACGATTTTTTGAGATCAATCCACCAATTGCAGACGAGTATTCGGCCGCTAAGAGTACTTAGGCCGTTACTTGTACTTAGGCCGCTACATATACTTGAGCCGCTCCGTATACTTGTGCAAGTTTTGATGGTATAGTCCAAGATCAATACAATTTTTCGAACATATAAGCAGCAATGAATTGTTAGGCCGCTACATGTACTAAAGCCACTACGTATACTTAAGCGAGTTTTGATGGTATGATCCAAGATCAATACGATTTTTCGAACAGATCAGCAATAATTAAATTCGTCCACTCCACAGGACGCTCGCAATACTCACGTTTTGGCAGAGAAATCTATGAGAAGAGCAGTGAGAGGGATGAGAAGCAGCCCGAACCAGAACAGCGGCGAGATAAAAACCTGCAACAGGGAACCAGGTCATCATATTATGCGAGAACATTCACTATTCGCAACGTTAAAAAGTCTTGAAAACGATCTTAAGAGTTTAAAAGACCTGTGACTATATCAACTTTGAAGTGAATAAATCAAATTTGTAGTGAATAAATTAAATTAAGAAATGAGATTGAAAAATACTCATCTTTTCTTATACACATCTAGATAAAATTGCTGCTATTTTTTAACAGAAAAACAAAATGAATCACTTCATCTATACATCGAGGCAAGATTACAGTATCCCAGAGTGAGTACGTTTATCTCGTACTTGTATGTATATGCCAGTCATATTGGAGGCGAGCGGCAGCACAGGCCAGAAGTTCGAGTAAATAAAGAGGAAGAGAAACCATGAGACGATCGAGCCCCAGATAGCCAAGTGCGTCGGCCACGTCCAGGCGCTGCTCTCCAGTCCAGCCTGCTCGTAATTATTACGTTAAATAGTCTTGAAAACGATCTTAAGAGTTTAAAATAACTGTGACTGAACAGTTCAGACTATATCAACAGTTCAGACTGAACAGACTATATCAACTTTGCAGTAAATAAATCAAATTTGTAGTGAATAAATCAAATTAGGATGTGATTCAGAAACAGACATCTTTTCTTACACACATCCAGGTAAAATTGCTGCTATTTTTTACAGAAAACAAAAGAAATCACTTTATCTATACACCTAGACAAAAGTATCGTGTCCCAGACACATGCTGAGTGAGTACGTTTGTCTCATACTTGTATGTATATTCCAGTCATATTGGAGGCGAGCGGCAGCACAGGCCAGAAGTTCGAGTAAATGAAGAGGAAGAGAAACCATGAGACAATCGAGCCTTCATCTATATATCTAGGTAAGATTATATTATCCAAGACACATGGTGAGTGAGTACGTTGTCTCGTACTTGTATGTATATGCCAGTCATATTGGAGGCGAGCGGCAACACAGGCCAAAAGTTCGAGTAAATGAAGAGGAAGAGAAACCAGGAGATGATCGAGCCCCAGATAGCCAAGTGCGTCGGCCACGTCCACGCACTGCTCTCCAGTCCAGCCTGCTCGTAATTATACATCAATAATATAACTATTCTATAATTACAGATATTACTTGATTAATAGTGAATATAATGGTCAGCACTTATCGTTAAAATTTTCTACAATACTAATCCAACAGGCATTATTTAGCACTTGTATAATCGTTATAAATCTATATATTCCAGTTAAAGCCAGTAAGACGCATATTGATATCTTATGTTGTAGATATTATTTTTGTCTTTGATAGTTTTTCAACAGCTTACCTCGTATTAGTAGACCATGTTGCCCGCCATGAGGTGGCTTACCTTGAGACACACGGTCACCACAATATAAGAGTAGACCATGTTGCCGGCCATGAGGTGGCTTACCTTGAGACACACGGTCACCACAACATAAGAGTAGACCATGTTGCCGGCCATGAGGTAGCCCCCGGTCTTGCCGTTGCCCCAGGCCACGTCTTGCGTCATCGCGAATACCGGCAGGGCGAACACGATGGCTGAGTGAGCAAGCGCCAGGAACACCCACCACAGGAATACCTGACAAACAAATTCGTTTTTGTTGCTCATTTCACTCTTCAGTGTGATGAAATTCATCATATTTACGGTCATGAAGAAACCCTGCAAATTATTTTCAAAAATATAAAATACTTTATATTTATTTATTTATTATTCTGAATAGATTTGAGTAGATCGAGTCAGAACTCAGACTTTGGCAAAAAATCATAGTACATTTAGATTTATAATATTTCCTATCTCGAATTGCGATCATATTGCTCACGAAATATAGGTTTAGACATTAGTTAAGAGAGGGAAACACGATATTATCGACTCAGAATAAGGGAAATAAATGTTATACCTTCATATTGTACTGAGAGCCGTTTTGGCTCTCCTTATAGAGAGCAGGATACTCCATGCGAGTTTTGGCGCTACAGCTTCTGTCAAATATGCCGATCGCCACAGGGGGAGCTGCAGTGAATAACTGAAAGAAAAATAATAAATGCTTAAGGGTTGTTATAACAACGTAAGAAAACTACTCTCTTATGAAAGTGACGCTAGATGATGAGAAACATTTTTTTCAACTTTAACAAGTTGAAACATAAATAAAACAAGTTTAACATAAATTAATAACACAAGATCTGCAAAATTTAGTGCCTACGGCGCACAAAATTTAAAATATACTGTGCATCAAAAGGGTTGAAGCCATATTCGTTCAGGAGGAAGTTTTGAGTAAACGCTCTGCAGATACGAAGAGTTGGTTATAACTAATAAATCTTCACAATTGATTATTATTTTATTAAAAAAAATTCAGAAACTGAAGAATGTCAAATTCTTCACTCAAAATAGAGAAATTAAATTTAAGTTGATAGCAACAGTACTCATCAGGGGCCATACTTTCAAAACTCACTAAGTGAACGTAAGTACCTACGCTCTATTTTCTTGTCTGTGATTGGTGAATTTTGCTTGAAAGG